GGACACACCAGGGCCTAAAGGCCCGACCTTTGGGGTTACAGGCCCTAAAGGCCTGATTTTGGACCATCACCCATCGGGTAGGCCCAAACGACACTTCGTTTGGGCCTGRCRGSSCTCTTGAARCTGCCGCCCGCCRATTGAGGCTGAACCGTCCATCTGGACGGTTCAGGGTCTGGCCTGGCCTYGCAGCATTGAGGCCAGACCATTGCCCACCGGTATAAGTACCGGTATCCGCCTCAGTTGAGGCATCGGCCTACCGGAACTCTACCGGCACGGCATGRTCAGTGCTAGAGCACTGTTTTGATGCGCTAAACTTAGCGCAGGGGCTGAAGCAGGAGCGCAGCATAGCGCAGCAGCGAGCGGAGCAGCAGCAGGGCGACTGAGCCAGCACGGCGGCCATTGCCGCCTGAGGTATCGGGAGCTTGGAGGGTCTCTCCTCCTCTCCCTCGCCAGTCCCCTCTCTCTCTCTCTCCTCTTCCTCCTTTTTCTTCTTCTTCTTCTCTTCTTCTTCTTCTTCTTCTTCTTCTTCTTCTTCTTCTCCTTCTTCAGATTGGAGACTATCCAGTTGGACAGAGATCAGAGTTGGACTTCGGTGATACGAGACTGTGGTACTTACCTGATTGGAGACTTGGAGATTGTTGAGGTTGATACTCGGCTGCATCACAGTTGGACACCAGTTACATCTGGACTCTGTTATCTCCGACATTGGTGACCCTTTGGTCCTCGACATTTTGATCTTGTTATATGACATTCTGGACTACCATTTCGGAGACCTATCAGACTCTATCTTGTGACCTATCGGTGTGATCTACCTCCCACCTCCTTCGTCTCTCCTCCCACCTTTCATCTGTGCATGTGTGTATGGGATCTGGGTATCGTCTATGAATGACCCAGACCCCACCATCTCATGATTGTATGTGTGTGGAGTGATGCCATGTAAGTCAGTTGGTGTGAGTCAGTCTATGTGAGTCAGTTCGTTATCAGACTTCCGCTGCATAAATGCTCATCCTATATTGGTTGATCTTTGGTTCTGCCCATACTCATTGAAGTATGTAACAGACAGCGTCCAGTCTACCCCCGAATCGCGTGCAGTAGGCGCTGGCCCGGTAACGTGCGATGCTCAGCAACTGGCACAACTAACCCTGCATAAATCTGGGGGCAACGGCATACATGGGAATACCTGGGCGAGCTCACACAGATCTACTGCAGAGAAAGCCTTCCACCAGAGTGTCAATATGACAGTTATGGAGCACCTGCCATCAACCATACCATCCATCTCATCTACGCAGACAAAAAGTGCAAAACAAACGTGAAGACAACACTGACGATCTCGGTTGGATCCCAAGAGGCGCAAACAAACGTGAAGCGAACATTGAGAATCTCGGCTACATCCCATTGCCTCCCCTTTGTCTGGCCCCTTCCACTTTGCCCTCCTGTGCCGTCAGCCACAAACAGGGTAAATGGAGGGGGCCAGTGGAAGAGGAGGTAATGGGATGTACCCGATATTGTCAATGTTGCCTTGGCGTTTGTTTGAACCTCTTGTTCATTTACATGAGATGTATGTCATGGTTGATGGCAGATGCCCTGTAGCTTTCACAAGCAACAACTTGCTATTCAGAATGACAGTAGTGCCTTTCAGAAAAGGGAACAGGTAGAGAAGCATTACAGGATGACAGGTTTCACAAGGAAGAACAAAAGGGTACCTTTTTCATTTTCTTGAGAGCATACTGCCTGTTGTTGGTCTTGTCAACTACGAGCCATACCTGACATAAAAACAAAATTAACAATTCGCATACAATATGAGCCAACAAGGTGGAAGGGTGATGTTGAGTATGTCGGATTGTAAAGCCTCAGACAATGTGCATCTGTTTTAATGGACCTCATAGAGCATAACTTCCGAAGATACGACGAACAAGGGTCTCATCATTTTCATGTACTGTCGCAATAATCATTGAATAATTCAATAATGCTTTTTTTTCTGAAACGTTTTTTCTCTTTTTTGGACCATTTCTGAAGTTGTGTGTCATCCTTGCACAGGGGCCTTGCTAATCTTGCAAGGAACGAGTCTTGCAGAGCCCTTATCAGACATACAAGTGTTCTGGGCTGTGGCCCCCAGAAAGCCCGTGCCCGCCCTAAGTGAAGGCGGGCCAGAATATCCACGTGAGGTCTGTGTTCAACATTTTCCATGTGTGGGTACTCTGACAGTTGCAGCACGCCAGTTGGTTACAGAGCAACATGAGCCTCCAGGCTCTTTCCAGAAGCGAAGGGCTGCACTGTACAGTTGAGCCCCGGGCTCAGGTGGTTGCGCCCTGGGCACACGCTGTGTGAGGCCGACACATCATGGACTGGTTTTGGGCCAATGAGGAAGCAGCATTGTCGTCACACATGTGCTGCGAGCCAATGAGAATGCTGCAAACACTTGGAGGCTGGGCGGCTGCCTGGACGTGCCTAACTGCACGAGACCCGGGCCAGTATCTGAAACTGGGCCTGGTCGCAGACACTTGGGGCCAGAGGCAATCTACTGGGCCCCCGCACGCCTAGCCAGGCCAACCAGCAGCGAACACACTTTCCGTAAAGGGAAGTGTGTGCCCCTTGGGCAGGGTATTCGGGCCTGAGCAGGCATTGCGGCCACGCTGCTGCATTGTCGTGCGACACTGCACTATGCAGGCAGGCTGGGGTGCACGCGGGCGCTAAGAGCTGAGAGGGCGCTGTGGCAGCGGGCACACAGCGGCCATAGCCGTGCGGTAGCAGGTGGTGGCGATGGTGGTCTTTGGGTAGGGGGCGCATGCAGAGGGGATCAAGGTGTGATGAGGGGAGGAGTTGTTCGTGTGACCAGGAAGAGTTGGCATTGGCACTTGAGTTCACGGTATTGCTCTTATTTGGTTGGAATCTTGGCGCATTGTGCTTTCTGCCTGGTACATGACTATCTGGACTACTTTGTGATTTTGCAGCTTGGTTTTCTGTCTATCGCTCCCGCTCATAATCCTTGCAATCTTCTGTGCATCATTCCAATTTTAACAGATGTCCTGAAGGACTTTTTTTCCGAAACTTCTTTTTTTTTTTTTAATAAAAAATTGGAGCATTTCTTGATTTATGCGTGTCATCCTTGAAAGCGCAGGGGCCATGCTAATCTTCTCTGTATCGTTTCAATTTTAACGGATGTCCTGAAGGACATTTTTTTCCGAAACTTCTCGCTTAGGTTTGTTGCTAATTTAGTCATATGACTGATATCCAGATTCATTCGCTGCAATTAGTACGTGCAATTTGATTATTCAAATAGCACATTCATAAATTAAAAAAAAAAAAAAAAGGCATCGAAATTCCAAGTTCCAACATTCATGCAACCTTTTTCTCCTGTCTTGACTGTGACTGAAAGGATCTGTCAGACGCATATTTGCAGATAAACCTCTGGCTTGAACTTACACAAAGCACCTGGCCCTACCGGCTGAATGGTGCACTACATAGTACATACATGTAACTGTTAGCAAACTGATCATGAGTTTGAAACCTGCAGCAAGTCCATCAAAACAACAATCTTAGGGGCTAGCCTCTTACAAAATAGGAAATTTACACAGACTTAGGGCAGCTGTACCACGCCAATATCTCACCAGGACTAATGCATTGTTGGGGCTATTTCAAGTGCTAATCGGGTAAAAAAAAAGGGAAGATGCTCAGTTGGTTGAGCGCCAAAGTGGCCCTCCGGAGGTCCTGGGTTCGATACCCAACGTTGTCCTTTCGATCCCCACAACCTCCTGGGGGTATGCTTCGGGTTCACCACCAGAGATTGTTGGCTTGGGCCTCTTGGCTGGTTGTGGAAATAGTTCTTTCCAGCCTGCACTGGGTGTTAGGAGCCTGGGTACTGCTTCCCGCACAGAGCAGAGATAGGTAGGCATAAACCGATAGCCTTAGGATAGCTTATAGTGCATCGAAGCTTCCTTCGGTATAGGTCGACGGTATGTAGTCGTTGACCCTAAATCCTGTAGTTGGCCTTCGAAACATGGAGCTGGATTCCTTGCTGGTTGGGTTGCCGTGCCCTTTGCACGTCCAGAATGTGGGTAGACCAGTTTGAGTACACAGCACGAGGTAGGTAGTGTGAGATGGAAAAATATTGAGAGAAGAAAATAGCATAGTAAGCGCAATATGAGGTGAAGGCAGCATGCATTTAATTAAAAAAAAAGCCTTTCTGCAATTTCTGAAAATTCTAGGTTGTTTTTCGGGAAGCCCGGATACCCAACTTATGCCTGGGCACACGCCTGGGCACCCCGTCGGGCGTGAGCCCCGGGCAGGGTTCTGGGCAGCCCCAGCGCAAAAAAAATAAAAAAAAAATAAAAAACTTCCAGAAAAAAAAAATGTTGTGTAGAATTGCAATACAAACGACTTTTGGCTGAGGGTCACATTAGAATTCCTCACATTATCGGAGATAAAAAAGAACACAACAGAATCACATAAAGGTGCAATCAGACTCGCTTTCTTTTCCACTTCGCACTCATGCAAACAGATGGCGAATCACACTGGTGCACAGCGCCCACTCAAAGCTCAGAGATATGGAAGTCGAAAACACAGTTCAGATACAAGCTTGCTCCAACAGGCTATGGCGCATCAACGCCTGTACCACCCAACTCTCGTCACTCTGTCCAACACCACTGTTCGCACTCACTCACTCTGGATCACCCTGGATATCCCACACGCATACACACACTCTCATACTCATACACTCGCCTATCAGTTATGGCGGCTATGGCCGCTGTCCCTCGCCTAGCTATGTCTAACTATCTCCTTCAGGCCACTTCGTCTTCGGGCACTCTGCAGACCACCTCGCACAAGTCGCTCAAGCAGCGCTTCCGCATGGCTTACGCACGATTGAATCAATGGCTGGATGCTGCCTCTTGATTTATACTTCTGGAAGTCGCTGGTCTGCCTCTTTCCACCGGGCCCATGGTGCACACAGTCCCTCATGGTACTTGCTGTGAGCAACATTGGAAGTCCCTCAACGGTGGACTCAGTGAGACTGGGACTGGGTACCGCTGACTCAGCAAGGGTGGACTTCACCACTTGCCCACTTGCCTCTAGTCTGCTGTGAGCAATGTTGGAAGGGCCACTTCCGGACCTTTCGGAAGTCTGTGGACTTGGCCCTTCGACACTGTAGCAGCTACGACCTTGACCTTTCAGGACTGTAGCAGCTATGAACTTGACCTTTCAGAAGAGCTACAGCTACAACTTCTAGAACTCAGTAAGACCTCTATCCGACAGGTCTACGGATCGAGCCCCTACAACCTACGGACCTACGACAGACTACCAACTGTTGCGAATACACAGGTCACGTGTTCAATTCTCGGGGTCGACAAAGGTACTGTACACAGGTAAGGTAAAGACTAGGGATCGAGCCCTGGGATCTGCATTCGCTACTGCTAACAGGTGAATACCGTTTCACTCCCGCCGGCCTAAATTTGAGGTCCTCCGAGAATAATTCAGTCCAAGACCGGATTTTTACCTTTCTTTTCTCTCTCGTAGGCTCTAACTACGTCGGGAGCTGTTTCCAGAAGTTCAGTTCTAGTAAACCAACAATCGTCCTCGGGGTCCTGATAAGCAAATCGGACCTTATACTGTTTCTGTGGACGACCTCTACCTCATGTTCTGAATACGTCTTCACCTACAATGCCCTCAATGTCATACCTTCCATCCATGTCCGGAAGGATCATGGATCTTCTTGATGGAAACTCTTGGCTTGTGACACACGGCAACAACTTTGACGCATGGAACACAGGGTGGGTGTGGAGGTGTGCTGGGATCTCTATTGTATAGGACGACCCATCCTCTCCGCCCTTAACTTCTAGGACTGGCCACGGCCCCCTGTACGCAGGCAATAACTTCTGCGAAATATTTTCCTTAGGAGCAAACTCTTTGGACTTGACCCAGACCAGGTCGCCTACTTGAAACTGCGACGGGTGACGGTGCTTGTTAGCCTGTTCTATCATCCTGTGCTGGGCCTTCCTGAGGTTCTCAACAACGGTAGCTAATTCCTTCTTGTGCTGTATCGCAAACTCCCTAGTACCAGGCGGTAGCCTATGGATCTGGTCCCAGTTAAGTCCTTCAAACGGTCTGCCCGGTCTAAAGGACTTATGCAGCTCATTGGGAGCAGTACAAGTGGCTAAGTGCACGCTATTGTTATATGCACTGGCTACCTTGGGCAACATCTCGTCACAGTTGACTTGATCTAGTCTAATGTTCACACGCAGAACTTGCTGCAGGATCTTATTCATCTGCTCGGTCTGACCGTTAGTCTCTGGGTGACGGCCAGACGACATTAACAACTTTGACCCGTATACTCTCATTAACTCCTGCCAGTTTTGACTTGTAAACCGGGTGTCCATATCACTAACTATGGATAATGGAATCACGTGATCACTAACCCAAAAGTAAAAAAACTTCTGAATTACCAACTCTGTACGGGCTTTTGCGGGTGAGGGAACAAAAACAACATATTTGCTAAATGGATATGGAATCGCCACGCTGATCAGGTATAGGCAAGGGTTGAAGAAAACCTAGAGGGGCACGCATAGTTGTCTTATTCCTCTGACAGACTTTGCAACTGCGAACGTACTCTATGCAGTCGGCTTTCATTCCTGGCCAAGTATACACATGCATCAAATTGGCCAGAGTCTTTTGCCAACCAAAATGTCCCTCTGTGTCGTGGCATTCCCCTAGGATCAAACTACAAATCTCCTCACTATTAGGAACACAGACGGTCTACTACGTTGGTCTT